GGCTGTTGTCACACATTCTCTTTATTTTACCTTTGCTCACTGTCATCGTGTGGGGCTTTGGGGTTTTTGTTTTACATGAGCGTTGTTCCGGGAGGTGGATTTGTCTCTCTTCCTACATCTCCTCTGTAGTTCACAGCTGTGGCAGATGGGACCAAACTAAGAAGACAGGAGTAAAAATCAAACACCAGCGAACGTCCCAATCTGCTCGTTGTTTTTGCCAGCTTTTGGTCAAAATCGACAATACCACGATGGAAAATTAACCTTGGAGGGGATGTTGCACAGGTGTGGTTGGGCACGTCCTTGGGTCCACGGGGAAGAGCAGGGCAATGGGGCACGTTGTGCTGTAAGGTCAGCAGCTGCAGAGCAAACCCAGTCGACTCAGACCCATTAGTGATGAATCAGTGTCCTTCACTCTGGGAACAGCCATGCAGCACAGCGTCACTCCTGGGGTGATGGAGGGGTTGGTTAAAGAAAGGGATGAATTAGGGCTGTGGCATATTTGGGACAAAAATCCCAGTTCAGGCGGGGCTAAAGCTTTGAGATGTAACTCCTTGGTGACCTTCCCGAAAACAAAGGCACCCTATGTTCCGAGGAGACACCTGGTTATCTGTCAGCCTTGCTGTGGGCAGCTCGTGGCCTCACGTGTGCCAGCCTCACGTGCAGACATGGTGGTGGGGTGATCTCTCTGACATAGCCAGAGAGTGGCTCCAGGGAGATCACCAGTGCCTTTTCCTTGAGCCTTTATGTTCTCCCGTGTCCATGAGCCTTTTGGAAATCTTGCCCCAGGGCCAAAGCAGGTTCCTAATATATAAAGTGAGGTTTATGTTTGCTAGTATGGAAAGGTTGGATTGTCTTGGAAAGGCAAAATGACCTACAGAATGAGCTGTTTTTTCTACCTGAGATTGGAGGCAGGAAGAAAAAAAAAAAAAGCAAATAAAATATGGATAGTCAGTGATGAATGTGGGGGTTTTTAAGAGGCCCATAAAAACATGAATATTACACCATGAGTGATGGGTCACTAAAACCTTGGAAGTATAAACGAGTTAAATATCAGGATAAGCATTTTGACATCTGAATTGATAGTAATCAAGGCCTGAGGTCCCAACAGAGCGAGTGAGTGACTCACAGTGGGAGAGTCTCCTGAGTCTCTTCAGACACTGGAGACCCTTCCAGGAGTGCAAGAGTTGCTTTAGCTGAATCTGAGCCCTTTAAAGGATTTGTGAGGTTTAGACGTGGAGCAAAAGCCTTTGCTAATGGTGAACTTAAATAAAAACACAGTCAGGTTCCGGATGGAAAATAAGCCAGGTTTAAATGTTAACAAGGAAATGCAAGTCCAAGTCAAAATCTGTGCTCTGCTGTATGAAATGAGTCTGTGGAGACTGGCATTATGACAGAGTTCATTTGACTTATTGGAAGCATCTATTAGTGCAAAACACTTCCAAATGGAGAGGAAAATTGTTTTACTGGGTGGTTTTTTTTTTTTTTCATCAAAATGCTGATGTGAGGCTTTAAGGAGAGTCGCTGCCTTTATGTGCCACAGTGCCAGGGCCCAGTGGGGAGGTGAGTCCATGGAAATGGATCCATGGCAGCTCTGGGCTCGTGGGCCATGGTTTTAATGTTGCACCAGCTCAGGTGCAGAACTGGGCTGTGACAGAGGTGTTGCCTCCCAAAACTGGGAGATGCAATGCTGTTGCCTCCAGAAGGGTTGGGTTTGCTCGGGGTGGGACGGCTGTCCATTGGGAAATGAGGTTGCTTGGGATAATCAGTAGTGAAGCAGCTATAAATCCATGCACCTCCAGCACCTTCAATCTGGTCCTTTGTCCTCTCCTCAAATCACTCCTCTAGAACCTCTCCTTCCCTGTCCCTCCCCTCGCAGATGGTTTGGGAGGGGAGCAGCCGCAGCTGTTATGTTGAAAGCATCAGCTGGGGCCTTTGGAGGCTGCTGCTCCTGTAGATAGGAAGGACCTGGGCCACGTTTGATACCAGGTGAACGCAGCACAGCCTAATTAGTGGTCTCCTACTGTTATTAACCTCTGACTCAGGCAGGCTATTTTTTAACAGAGGTGCAAGAAGTTAATACTCGTGCTAATGGCTTCCTATCCAAGGCCTTAATGAAAGCCATACAGGGACCAGGCTTTCCATCAATATCTTTCAAACTTTGAACTTGAAATTATTCTCTCCCCCTGCCTTTTTTTTTTTTTTAATTTTTGGCTTTCTGCCTGTTTTTCCGCCTCCTCTGGGACACGGGGGCCCTGTGGTGTCAGTATGACCTGATCTGGTCAGGAGAGTTAGCACCTGCCAGTGCCATGGCAGAGCTGACTCCCTGTGGCATCCAGATAAATGGTCCTGGTGGGTCACCATGGCATCTCCCACCAGGTAATGAGATGTTTGCTTGGAGAGCAAGATAAAAATAAAAGTGGAATGCATTGGACTGGCAGGAGAGATAACAGATAAATGTTGCGTTAGGGAGGAAGCTTGGGCTTGTCTTCGTCTTGGTCTTGCTGGAACCAAGCTCCATGAGAACTTCACAGGTGCAGGAAAGCATTTATATGTGTGATGTTGTCAAGTACAAATGGAGTGGGATTTGTGCAGCTGACATGTTGCTAAGGCACTTGAGGAGAGGAGGAGAAGGTCCAAGGGTGAAGCCCATTCATCCAGGCGCTGCCTCAAGAGCCTTTGCCCCGGGCAGGAGCAGCGATGGTGGAACAGCTTTGTCCTGCAGTGTGATAAAGAGGTCACAGCCTACCAGTCTGGGGTGGTGGTGGTTGATTTCTGGGGTGTTTTCTTCTGTCTCTAGCACTTCTAACTTGTGTGCAATGCGGCTGCAGGCTCACGTCGTGGTGTCTGGTGAGAAAAGATAATCTGCTCAGGCTCTGTGGCTGGATTGTGCTCTTTTAAACAAGAATCCATTTTTTATTGGAATACATATTTCTTTTAAAAAATAAGCCTGTTTAAATAAATTTGAAATTATGACAACCTATTTTAAGGCTTAAATTTACTATAATCTATTAATCATTTAAATAACTTCCATCAAGGATTTCTCCTCAAATATTAATGAGCTGGAGGGTGCTGCTTTTACAATGATATGTCAGATCAGGGGAAAAACATCTCTAACTGTAGCTTTCTAAATGTCACAATGTCACATTCTTAGTATCTATTATTTTCACTCTTTACAATGGAGCAAATGCTGGTATTTACATTTTTTCCAAATGTCAGTATGTTGAGTTCCTGTTGCGCATAAAAGCTCTTGCCTTAATTACTCCTAATTTCACATTAGCAGGCAGGTGCAGGGAGAGTGTTTTCTTCCATCTGAGCTGGTTCATTCCAAGTTGAGAAGCCATGGGGAGTTGGGAAAGCGGGCAAGCTTGTTTCCCCTTTTCCAGTCCATGAATAAAGACCAGGTGGGAGAGGAGGAGATCTGCCGTTCCAAACCCCCCCGGCTCCCAGGGCCGGCTTCTCAAAGCGGGGGAATGTGTGTCCCTAAACGCACAGCTCAGCAGTCAGAGGGAATTTCAGAAGTGCTTCTGGCTTCCTGGTGGCTTCAGCTCCTCTTGGTTTTGCTTCCCGGTGGCACCGCGGAGCGCTCGGCGTCCCTCTGCTCGGGACACTCCAAGTGCAGTGATTACCGCCAGAAATGCGGCCCGTGCTGAGCACAAGCCATCTGCCAACTCGCTCGCTGTGGCTAATGTTTCCTTTGATTAATCAAATCAGTTTGGGAGGATGAACCTGGTTCCTGATGCAGATTTTACCCCCCCCCCCCATCCCTCTCCCTCCTCTCCATCCCCGGCAGCCTGCTCACTTAAGGCAGCCTAATGAAATTAATTAACAGCAAATTTAAAACGTTGCTTTTCGGCACTGTAATTGAATTCCAGTTTTCATTTGAAGGCAGCATGAAACAAGCAAAATAAAGATGTTAATTTGCAAAGTGAGACGGGCTCTTTCCCACTGCCATCAAATGGGATGGAGCGGGATGGGTCTGGCTGGACCGTCCCCACGGGGCAGAGACAGGAGGGAGAGTTGTGCCTCCCTGGGAAGCTCATCATGTTTTTTATTGTTATTCCAACAAAATCTGCTGTTTTCAGGAATACTAACTAATGGGCAAGTGGCAGGCTCGAGCTGATGGCTGAGATCAAGGTGGTGTGAGATGGTGATCGAGGTGATCTGGCTGGAGGTGGAGGTAATGATTAAAACGGTGCCCATCTCTCCTAGGAATGGGCTGGTGTGACCCTCTCTTTGGCTGAGACCCAGCCATAGGATGTTCTTGAAATTTTGGAGTCAGCCAGGTGAATTTGGTTTGATTTGGCATTTGGTGTCCCTGTCCTCAGCTGCTCCTCCTGCTTGGGTGTCCTCTGCTGCCGTCACTCATCAGCACAGCTCTGTTGATCTGACCTAAACCTTGAAGTTAAAAGCACTTAGGGAAGGTCAGAGTACTTGGGCAGAAGCTGCAGGTACCTCTGCAGGTCTCTGGGCTGAGTCCTGTGTGGGGAGCTGTAAAACATGATTGAAGACTGAGAACCTCTGAAATCACCTGAATCAAAGTCAGGTGTGACTGCAGCTCTGTGCATGTTTCACTATTTGCAAAGGACGGGAGATATTTTGTCTGCAGTAATTTGTGACGTGGTCCCGGTGATCCCATCAGTGCTGCTGAGGAGTTGTCCTGTATCCTCTGCTCCCAGTGCCTGGAGCTGTGTTTAACATGAGGTGTGTGGGTGAAACCTGCCCAAATTAGAGCTGGAAGGATGCTGCTGGGTTCCCTGCCTCTGCCCCCGAGATGCTGTCAGTGAGTGCTCTCTCCCTGCAGTACATCTGGATTTTTGGAGAGGCCCACATCTGGATTATAACTAGAAATACGATTTTACTCTGCTTTAACCGTTTAGGTTGGGGTTTGTGTATGCCGTATGCAACCCTTGGCCCCTCCACCCGTTTTTTTTGGGAAGAGGGGAATGTCCCCATCAACTCTCTGCTCCGTGTTTCCCCCCTGACCAGCTTTGCTTTTGCAGAGATCTCAGGCAACACGGACGACATCCCCCTGGTGCGCTGGCGGCAGCAGTGGCTGGAGAACGGCACGTTGCTCTTCCACATCCACCACCAGGACGGGGCCCCCAACCTGCCCGGCTTTGACCCCACGGAGGAGCCCCAGACCGAGTCGGCAGAGGAGGAGCTGAGGATCCTCCACATCTCCGTCATGGTACGTGATGGGCAGGCAGCCCCTCTTCAACCGTCCAGAAGCCTGCAGAAAATATAGTGGCTTTTTGAAAAGCCCCATCTGGCTCCAGCTGCCCTAGGATAGGGAACTGAGCCCACTTGTGGGGGTAGTTAGGATGCCCTGGGCACCTCTCCAAGTGATGCTTTAACACTGAGCTTCTTTAAACCTCTCCCTGAGTTTGCATCACTTTGAAAATATGTTCGCGGGGTGCCTTTATCCCGGGGGGGAGGGGGGGGGGAGTGTGTGGGGGGTGGTTTCTGTGCTTTGAAGGTCTCAGCCACCCTAACCCAGGGTTAATTCACACTGACTTTGTCAGGAGCCCTCTGCCCGTGGATGGTGCCTGCTGTCCACTGCTCCGACATGCGGCGGGTGTCACGGTGCCACCGGGCACTGCCACCGCCACTTGGATCAGCCTGGCAGCCCCGTGGCCGTGGTGTCACAGCGTGCAGCCAGAGCACCCCGTGGGTCGAGGTTGGACAGCTCTCCTCTTTCCCCCCCTCAGACACAGGAAGACAAGCTTTTGATGGCAGAGAAAGGAGAGGTCTGTGTGTTGGAGGTGGATCTGTGGTGTGATGATTGTTTGGGGTTTTTCTCTTTTGTTATGCTGGAAAAAACGTGAAGAATCCTAAAATTCTTTGTGCCACGGGAGGATAATTAGCCGGAGACAATGTGTTGCCGAGGCTGCAAACAGGCTGTTTAATGGTGCCTACCCTAATGAGAGCTTCAATTGCTCTTCCAGATTGCAGCCCCAGGCCAGGTTTCTCCTCCATCATTTGTGCTTGATTAGTCTCGAGGAAAAAAAATAACTGGCAAAGCCACTCCCAGAAACATCTTACACCGTTATCTCTATTTTATTGTCCATTCCCAGTTGCTCCTGAGGGGGTGCATCACCTCTGGAGAGGCTGGCCCCACCCTGCTGCCCTGGTCTTGGTCTTCCTGGGTCCTGCTGGATTCCAAGATCAAGGCAGGAGTAGCTGGAACGAGGCTCATTACCAAGATGATGAAAAGGATGTCTGCAACTCATTGCTCCCCTACCAAAATGGGCAAATAGAGATTGAGTCCTCCCTCTGCCCCTTTTCCCCCATTACTCTCAGCTCCGTGCCAGCAGCATCCCTTTCACTCTGAAAAACAGAGGTTGCACTTTGTGCCAGGAGTCGGGATCACGTGGAGTGTTCAAGGCTGATTTTCTTTCTTTCTTTCCTGTGTGGTTGCCAAGAGAAGTTGTGAGCGAGGGGCTGTATCCATCGTGACTGTGGTCCTCACACGGACTGTGCGAGGAGCACTCCCACACCCATCCCGTGCAGGGGCTCCTCACGGGCATCTTGTGAGTGCTGGATTAGGGGGAAGGCAGAACGGCACCTCTGTGCTCCCATGGAGGGGAACCAGGGGCCTGAGGTGGTGCCCTGCTCCCCTCCAATGTGCAGTGGGTGGAGGAGACTCCAGTGCTGGCTTTCATCCTCCCCTCAGAGCCTCTTGAAAAATCTCCAGGGGCCAGAGGCAGCTTTTCCTCAGGGGCAGTTTGAGCTCTCAGGCTATCGGGGCGAAAAGACATTAAATTTCAGTGAAATAGCAAGTCTTTTTTTTGAGAACCCACAGTCACAGCCTGAAGCAAATGGGTGTCCACCAAACTCCAAATCTCTCCTGTTTAGCAGAGGCATATGGCAGAGCTCTCTGGTGTGTGGGGGATTTAATGTGCACACAGAAAGTGAGGAAAAGCCAGGAATGCCCCAGTATTCCTCCCACTGGCTTGTCATCCCATCTGCAGATGGTCCTTTTTCCAGGGTGATGGAGAGCTATGACACAGGAGGCCATCTCCAGTAGGGATGGGGATAGCCCCCATTTATTTATGGATCAGAAGAACTCATAGGCATTGAGCATGATATGGAATGAGGCTCTGACTTTTAACACTAAAAAACTCTGTGTGAACACGGCCAGGCACTTTTTACCAGGGCATGCAGTACTGGATTTAAACTGAAAAAGAGCAGGTTTTGATTGGATATTATTGGAAATTATTTGCAGTGAGGGTGGGCAGGCCCTGGCACAGGTTGTCCAGAGAAGCTGTGGCTGCCCCTGGATCCCTGGAAGTGTCCAAGCCCAGGTTGGATGAGGCTTGGAGCAACCTGGGCTAGTGGAAGGTGTCCCTGTCCATGGCAAGAGGATGGAACAAGGTGACATTTAAGGTCCCATCCAATCAGAACCGTTCTAGAATTCTAAGATTCTGTGGTTCAGTGCCAGTTTTCAGCCCCCAGCAAGAAATTTCCCCACTTCCTGGCTGCAGACTCGTGGCCAGAGAGGGTGTACCAGCCAGCCCCACCTCTGCAGATCCTTAATCAATGGAGTTTGTTTGTTCTTTCTTTTTCTTTTTTTTTTTTTTTTGGTTTTGTTTTAAAGAAAGTTTGGAAGGAGGCTCAGAGGGTGCATCACAGCTCCATTATCCTGGAAATGAAAGAGAGTTAAACTGTAATGGCCATTAAACTTCCTTTTCCAGCTGCCTCTCCTGCTTCTCATTCAATGATTCCCTTAATGTTTTATCCTAATGGAGCAGATTATTACTATTATTTTACTTTATCAAGATCACCTGTTGCATAGAAAAGAGGAGGGAGGCTGGGGCCGTGGATGGACTCAGAGCTCTTAGCTGGTTCCACATGCCTTTTATTGTTATTATTGTTATTATTCTTGGCAGATTGTGCATAAAGGGCCAGTTTTGGGCTTTCATCTCACCGCCTTCATCTGTGTACAGTGACGGTGTCTCGCAAGAGGGTGGCCTTGGGGACAGTGGTGAGATGGCAGGGCTCGGTGCAGTTTTGGGGTCTGTCCCTGCGGGGCAGGAGCTTTTTCAACCTCTTCCCCCCAAGACATTCCCCAAACAACACTTCAGTCATCTGTCTCTCTCGAGCCGTGATCTCCTTTAATCTGTGCTGCAATTTCTTCGGGATGCCCTGGGAAAATCTCCTAAGATTGAGAGTGACAGCACTGAAACCAGTTGGAAACGGGTCAGAAAAAGTTGCCCCTAGGAGCGTTTGCCTGGAATGAATCTGATCTCTCTTTTCAAAGGCGCGTTGGGGGAGAGCAAAACAAAACGCGCTCCGCTTTAAGTGCTGCTTTTTCATGCCTCGGTGGCGACTTCAAAGCTGGCCCAGCCCCGAGGCAGGATTGAGCTGGGAGCGCTTGGCCAGCACCGGGCGCTCCTGGTGCCAGCACCTCCTTACCGGCGTGACCAGGCTCCTCTCGCCGGTGCCTTTGCTTCGGCCACCCCGGGGTGTTTCGTGTCCCCGGGGAGGGCCGGTGCTGGCCCCCGGGCTGAGCCCTGCCCGCGTTCGTGCCCGCAGGGAGGGATGATCGCCCTGCTGCTCTCCATCCTCTGCCTGGTGATGATCCTCTACACCCGCCGGCGGTGGTGCAAGCGGCGCCGGGTGCCGCAGCCGCAGAAGAGCGCGAGCGCCGAGGCCGCCAACGAGATCCACTACATCCCGTCGGTGCTGATCGGGGGCCACGGGCGGGAGAGCCTGCGCAACGCCCGCGTGCAGGGGCACAACTCCAGCGGCACGCTCAGCATCCGCGAGACCCCCATCCTGGACGGCTACGAGTACGACATCACCGACCTGCGGCACCACCTGCAGCGCGAGTGCATGAACGGCGGGGAGGACTTCGCCAGCCAGGTCACCCGCACCCTGGACTCGCTGCAGGGCTGCAACGAGAAGGCCAGCATGGACCTCACGCCAGGTGGGCACGGGCTGAGCTGGCTCCTTTCCAAACCCGCCTTCCCTCTGCCATTCCGGGCACGTGTTTTCCATTTTCCTCTGGTTTTTCACTGGCTGTGAGGTGTTGGTGCCACTCAGGAGGCAACTGCGCTACTGGGAGGCCTTGCAGGCGGTTGAGAGCAGTCCCTGCTGAGCGGGATGTGGCTGGGACAACACAGGGTGGGGCTTTGAGGGGAGGGACTGCAGTTCCTGTGGCTTGATGAAGAACCAGAACCAGAACACTGTGCCTTCTGAGCTCCCCATAATGACCCCCCAAAAATCCCTTCTGTGTCCCAGGATTTCCACTGTCTTTTTCAGCTTAAGGTTTTCAGTAGCAAAATTATACGTGCCATCAGTATGATTCAGAGTTAATGCCACCTTCTGAGCACCAGCAAGGATTCTTTGAGGCTTGTTACACACTTGTTCTTTGGCCATATTACTAACTGGGCCGTCCATCTGGAGGCTTCTGAGCTGAGACATGGTTTGGGAAGACCATAGTGTGGTGCTTAAAGCCCTCCAGGGGTTTTCTTCACAGACGTGGGTATGAAGAAGTGCCCTGAGAGGCTGAGTGTTAGAGCTCAGCTTTTGGCTAGTTTGGTGGAGGTGCCAGTCGCCTTCAGGATTTGAGTTGCTCCTGAGGGTGCACTGAGGGCAGCTCAGCTCACTGGCTGCAGCACCCTGATCACCTCGCGATGGTCGGGAGATGGACCCAAGTAAACCTTTCTCTCACCTCCTTCCCTGTTTTAAAATCTTTATCCCTGAGAGATTTTGCCTTCAATTCTTCCTGCTCAGGGAGTGATAACGCCAAGCTGTCCCTGATGAACAAGTACAAGGACAACATCATTGCCACCAGCCCCGTGGACTCGAACCACCAGCAGGCCACGCTGCTGTCCCACACCTCCAGCAGCCAGCGCAAGCGCATCAACAACAAAGCACGAGGTAGGGGCGTCCCTGGGGTGGGTGGGGTGCTTTGGGCTTCCACCCACCCACATTCCAGCAATTCACCCTCTCCTAGGATGGATAAATAGGATCAACGTTGGGCGAGAGCGTGGGAAGGAGGGTTTGGGTGGGGAGGCACAGCAAATGTGGTGCCTGCAAGGATGCAAGTCATGCTGGGCTGGTTGGTTGCAAAGATGCAGAGGGTGTCTGCCATGGTAAATATTTCAGGGTACTGGCACAGCCACGGGGAAGAGTTGCAAGTAGTGGGACGTGTGGCAGGTGGGGGCACGGGTGTGTGAGGTGGGAAGGGGAGAAGGTGCTGTCCCTGCTGCACCTGGCAGGTGGGGCTCCTCAGTGTAAGGCTTTCCCTGAAGGGTTATGTAGGATGCCAAGGTTTGGGGTGGCACGGTGCCAACCCCTCCATGACTACACTCAGTGTCCCCTGCAGCTGGCTCAGCATTTCTCAACCCCGAGGGGGACTCAGGGACAGAGGCGGACACCGACCCCCAGCTGACCTTCTACACAGACCCCTCGCGGAGCCGGAGGCGCAGCCGAGGTGGGTGGGGAGCCACGACCCCTCTTGCCATATTTACTGTTGCTTCTCTGTGTTTGGAGACTTTCCACCGGCAAGAGATGGGAACCCAGGTGCGGCCCCAGCTGCCGCAGGCAGGTGCTGGACACCGCTCTGCAGTGAGCTGCTGCTGCTCTCCGGTGGAGCTTCTCAGCAGAGGATGAAATATTATTCTGATGTTTTGCTGGAGGCTTCTGCCGGGCACTGGTGTATATTAATGAGTAACACGCTTCAAAGGCCGGCCCGTGCGTTCCCAGGCTGCTGCTCAGCACGGAGCTGCCGCGGGTTCGCTCCGGCACCGTGCACACACGAGCTGTGTGTGCAGCAGAGCATGGGGACAGCCTCGGTCCCTAGGCAGGAGTCTTGCCCCACTGCCCTGTACCGTCCCTGCAGGAGGTATTCTCCTCCCAAGAGGAGAGTTAGTGTCTGTTTTCCCTCGCTGAGCCTCGTTTGCTGGATGATGCCTTGTTTTCCTGGGAGCGGTGGGACTAGGAGCCCTCTCCTTCAGCTGGTGCTGAGAGGCTGGTTCAGGCTTTGCCTCCATCCAGTTTTTTTCCACTCAGCTTCTTCAGCTGAGAGATTAAAAGTCAAAGACCTGCATGCCCTGAGCAGTTAGGGCTCTCCAGGACTTTTACAAAAGCATCCACGAGCCTGTTGTCATGACAAAATTAAATCGAGTGAAGTGCCGAGGAGGAGGGGGGGAAAAACAGGATTTACCTGCATTTACCTTTCTTTTCCTCAGTATCTCAGCTCTGCTTTAAAGCTCTTTGCTGCTATGAAGTTCTCAGCCTGCTGCAGTGCAGGGTGTGGGAGAGCCTGGGCTGAGGGGGATCAGGAAGACCCCAGCTGCAGCAGGCAGGAGGGAGGGTCCCATTGCAAAGGCTGCTTCGTGCTCTTCAAAATCCAAGCTGGCTCCATTTGATTGGATCAATGCTGGATTTCCGGGGGGGCTGGGCAGGGTCTCTGCACCCTGAGGCCCCCTGGCTGCACCCCAAAGTCTTCCTGGGTCCTGCAGGTGTCAGGTTTGACTGTGCTTCCGTGTTTTGCAGTGGGGTCCCCCCGGAGCCCTGTGAACAAGACCACGCTGACCCTCATCAGTGTGACGAGCTGTGTCATCAGCCTGGTGTGCTCTTCCCACATGAACTGCCCCCTTGTTGTCAAGATCACCCTCCATGTCCCTGAGCACCTCATCGCTGATGGTGAGCACCCCACAGTCTTACCCACCCCTTCCTGCCCCATTCTGTGAGGTGTGATGGAGGGAATGTGGAGAGAATGGGTGCAGGATGGAGGGAAAGGGTGGATGGGAAGCACCAATGTGGATGGAGGGGATGGGCACAAGGCAGAGGGGATAGGTAGAGGACAGAGGTGACTGTTATGGGATGGAGGGGCTGGGTCCTTGACAAAGGGGGCAGGTGTGAGATGGAGGATACCAGTGTGGGAACAAGGGGTGGAGGGGTACAGGATGAAAGGGATAGGCATGGGACAGAAGAGACAATACAGGAAGGAGATGGCTGTTGTGGGACCCAGGGCATGGTGCAGAATGGAGAGGATGAGCGTAGGACCACGGAGAGTGTTGTGGGATGGAGGAATCAGACATGGGACTGAGGGGATGGGTATGGGATAGAGGTGGCTGTTGTGAGACAGAGGGGACAGGCACAGGATGAAGGGAACTGTCATGGGATGGAGGAGACTGATATGGGATGGAGGGGACTGTCATGATGCAGAGAGGATGGGCACAGGACAGAGGATCCATTGTGGAACAGAGAGGGCTGTTGTGGGACAGAGGGCACTGTGTCAGGATGGAGGGAATGGGCAGCAAATAGAGGGATCCATCACGGGGTGGAGGGAAACATCACAGGATGGAGGGGTCCATTGAGGGATGCAGGAGACAACCACGGGATGGAGGGGACAGCAGCAGGTTGCCCTGCTGACTGCCCTTCTCTCGGTGTCAGGGAGCCGGTTCATCCTGCTGGAGGGCAGCCAGCTGGATGCCAGTGACTGGCTGAACCCAGCCCAGGTCGTCCTCTTCTCCCAGCAAAACTCCAGCGGGCCCTGGGCCCTGGACCTCTGCGCCCGGCGCCTCCTCGACCCCTGCGAGCACCAGTGTGACCCCGAGACTGGTAGGTGGTCCAGCGGTGGGGGTGGGTTTGGGGGCTCACCCTCTGCCTCCCCAGGCCAGCTCTGATGGGAAGATGCTTCCTTGCCCTGGGATGGCTGCAGGGATGCATTTGGCAGGGAAGCACATGGAAAGCTTTGTCCTCTTGTGTCCCTCATGCCCCCCCCTTTCTCTGTAGGTGAGTGTCTCTGCTATGAAGGCTACATGAAGGACCCTGTGCACAAGCACCTCTGCATCCGGAACGAGTGGGGAACGAACCAGGGGTGAGTGTGCCTTCCACAGCTTGCCCGGGCTTGGGCTGTCCTCACACGAGCTGCTGGCCTTCAGCAGCAGCATGGCAGGGCTGTGGTAAACTTCTTGGATGAAAGAGTCAGAGGCACCTTGGTGAATTGTAAGGTCAGTGCAGGGCTGGGCTCTGCAGCAGGTCTGTGGGAGGTGAGAATTTCTATTCTTTGAAATAATCAGAAATGATGTAGAAGAGGCCATTGTCGCATTTTACAGTAAACACCCCCTGGAGAAGATGGAGATTGTTCCTCCTCCCTGAGTGAAGACTCTTCTTGGTAGGGCTTTTGGTTTGAGTGTGTGAGGCATCAGAGGAGGGCTGAGGTCAGGCTGGGGTCCTCACTGAAAATTGGGCAAATTAGATGCTTTGATCCTGTAGCTGAGGGAGCAGAGCAGTCGCCGTCTGCTCCACAGCTTTAAATCCCTGGACGTGCCAAGGGAAGGTTTTCTGATGCTTTGGCAGCAATTTGGTGATCCTTAACACTCATGGGTCTCTGACACGCAGCTGGGGCCTCCCCAGGGATGGCTGGAGGTAACGTGCAGAAACCCAAAACACCCTCAAATCTGGAGATCCCACGTGCCCCGCCACATCCAAGCCCTTGTTTTTCCCACTTGTCTCACTGTGCCGCAGCTGGATGGGCGGTGGCCCTGCCCGTGTCAGGATGCCCTCTCTGAAGTTATTAGTCCTCGCAGTGGGGAGGGAGAAATCATCAAAGGCTGGGCTTGGCGGCACCCCCGCGGTGCGGCTGCGCTGGAGGATGGCAGCGGCGGGGGGCCGTCTGTGCCGGCTGGCCCCGGCTGTGTCCCTTTGAACTGGGGCCCGGGGAGAGCAGCCCTGCTCTGTCTCCACCCCCACTCTCTGGTTTTTTTATCATTTTAAAGGCAGTTTAGCAATTAAGCCCAGCGTGGAGCACCCGCTGTGTGAGACAAGGGCGGTTGTTGCTGTGAGTGCCCTGAGCCAGGGGCGACGCTCGGGACACAGGTGGTCCCGTGCTGGGGATGTGCTGAGTGCTGTGGTGAATGTCCCCAAACCTCTTCAAGGTACCAGAGCTGGGTTGGGAAAATACAGGCAGAAATACAGCTCCCTGTCCTGCTTGTCCTGAGGTGTCCAACGGGGATGTTCCCAGATCCTCTGTGCCCATCTCATAAGAGGCACCGAGTGATGGGGTCTGGGGTGTGGGAGGGGGTATTCCCCTGCCAGGGATTTGCCTGTTTTGGGATGTGTTGTGTTTGGGAGTGTCTCACCGTGGATTGGAAAGAACCCATGGCCACCCATGACCACAGTGGCTTTGGTGCCAGCCTCTGTCTCCGTCTGTGCTGGACTCACCACCCTGCAAAAAGCAAAGTGGCAAATGACTTTGTCCATTGAGGCAGGTAATAAAAATGGAAAAGCACTGTGGAAAAACATTTGCTTCCTTCCCCTCTGCTTTTCCTTTGCTGCTGGGTGTGGATCTGCAGCTTCACACTTTTCCTCCCATGCACATTGCTCTTCTCTAGCTTTTTCCTGATTTAGCTGCTTCACCATCTTAAGGGAAAGTGGAGAGAAAGCTGCTTTCAGGTGAATTGGTAGAAAATAGAGGTGGTAACAAGCAAGAGAGAAGCCAAGGGCAGGAAAGGCAAGTCCATTCCTGAAGCCCTCTGGACCTGTTCACAGCTCCAGACCCAGCTTTGATCTCAGCCATGCCAAAGCAGAAGGTGCTCAGGACCCACTCTGTTCGTCTGGGGAATTTGTGGCTGCTTTTCAGAACCAGCTTCAACCCAGTGCCCCCCCAGGAGTCTTCTCCAGACTGTGCTTGAGCCTCTCTCTAGAGGCCTTTTCTCCTGCAACAGGGTTAGTACCTGGCCAGGGTACAGCTTGTCTTGTGTCTCTTCTTATAGACCAAAGCTGGCTGTGACAAACTGTGTGCAATATTTCCAGCATATTTTTCTGTTTAGGGCAGGGAAATCTGGCAGATCTCTTTTTCCCCAAGGTGCAACACAGCCCCAGATGATGGTGGGGCTGTCAAAGTCCTCCTGCCCTTCTCTGAGCTCTCGAGAAGGCTCTGATGCTGCAGTGTTGGGGCTTTTTCAACTATATCCTTAGAGAGCTCCTCTCTCGAGCTGCTTGAAACCGGGGTTATTTTGTGTTTCTTCCTTGGACTTGTCAGGATTTTGTTTCAGAAAATGGTGAAACCATACTTCATCCCTGCCTGCAGCTTTCACTATTTTTAGGGGCTGTGGAAAGCATGTCCACACTAAGCATCATGATGCTTGGGCTAGCTGGGTGTTTAATGAGGGTTCTTTTCCTTCTCTGCAGTCTGGTCTCATGTCCAGGTGTTGCTTGGTGCAGCTGTAATGCTGGAGCTCCCTTCTACCTGTCCATGCTGTCCCCTGTGAACTCTTGGCCTCCACAGGGTTATGACGATGATGAACTCCCTTTAGTCCAGCAGAACCATCTTGTCACAGCCTGTTTAACTGAATAACTTGTAACTTCAAGCTGGTTTTATGGTTTTTTGGGGTGGAGGTTGAGCTGCCATGCTGTCTTTGTCACACTCATGAACTCGCTCTCAACTCTAACCCAAACAAGGTTGCCTGCAGGTTCACCTCAAGGAGATGTCTGCAAGTCTTCTGCTCTCTCCCCCCCATCCCAAGGTGCCTGAATAATTTCTGACACTGTTTTGTCTGATGTGCCCCTAACCCCTCCCCATGCTGGAGTGACGTGCTGCTGCCCCAGGGCAGTCCCTGGAGAAGCCACGTGTGCTCCTGGTCAACAAAGCAGGAAATCCCTCGGCGCGCTCGGGAGCGACGTGCTCTGGTTACGACCTCCTCTCTTTTCCCAGGGTGGCTTTTTTATCTGAAAACTCATTTCAACCCTGTGGTTCAGAGAGTTTTGCCGTTGGTTTGTTTTTATTTACAGCGACGACAAGTCGGCTCGGTGTCTGTTCACTCAGCAGCATCTAATTTTGCTCATGAAGGCGAGCTCATCTTTGTGCTTTATTGGCGATGGCAGGGAGAGGCTTTGTGTGGTGTGTGTATTTTGGGTACCAGACTGAGATCCACGCCTCCGCGGTGCATCTTTTACCCAACGCATCCAGACCCTAAATCTTCATCCATTCTTCAAAAAAATCAGATCTTTTTGATCATGGGTAGCAGATACATTTGATCAGCTGCTTTTGCTCTTCAGCTGTTTTAAACAAATCTGTCTGGTGCTGTTTGTGTGTTCACAGTCTGTCTCCCTACTTTGATATGCATTGTTAATTAGCTGCTTTTCGGCTCTTACTCTAATGTTTCCAGAGTAGGATGCAGTTTCCAGCAATCCAACCAGGTCTGCCTCATCTTTGCTCATCAAACCCATTTTCTGTGGTTCTTTTTGTGGTATGACTTGGCCAAAGATCAAATCAGCTCATTCTGCCTTTAGTTAATAAACTGTTACCTGCCCACATTTGTACTTATTTATCTCAGCCCTTAGATCCATCATGGATGCTTTCCCTTCCCCACCTGCAGTTCTTGCCTGGGTGCCCTTTTCAGACTCTCTCAATGAGATTTAAGATGCTCTGCATTTAAAGGGCCTTTATCAGTGTGCTCTTTCAACTCCTAATGGGCCTCAGCCTGGCATGGAGAGGTTTCAAGCCAGTTTAATGTGATGTAGGAAATGCGTCTGGCTGGGTGCTCTCATCCTCTTATAGCACTTGGCAAACTGGGCTACACCAGCCTTGCTCCCCTGCAGGACAAGTTACCTCTTTCTGCCCCCTTGCAGGTGTTTTTTCGGGCACAGGACGTGAATTAGTGCAGTAGCCCATGCCCTGCTCGCCCACCTCCCCTCCCCTGCTCTTCCCTCCCCATGATTCACACAGTTATCCCCCTTCCCAGCCATGCACCTGCTCCTCTCGTCCCATCCCCACACATCACCCACTCCCCACCCCACAGAGGAGCCAGGGACACACTGAAGTGACAAGGACAGCACTTTTCCTGCTTAAAGTCTTTTTCCCCCCACCCCTTTTTCTATCTCTCTCTCCTTTTTTTTTTTTTTTTTTTTTTTTTTTTTTTTTTTTTTTTTTTTTTTTTTTTTTTTTTTTTTTTTTTTTTTTTTTTTTTGCCTCTCTCCATCCCCTGCTGTGTGCCTCGGCTTTGCGAGCTTGAAGGACAGCCAGATAAAAAGCTCCTCTTTCTTTCAGATCCTTTCACCAAACCACCCATCCGCCTCCTCCTCCCGCCTCATTCTCCTCGCAGATTTATGGGCAGCCCAGGGAGAAAGTGCCGGCATTAGCATTTTTAATAAAGCCCTGCTTGCAAGGGATGGCAGGGGGTGGGGAGCTGGGAAGGGGAGAAGCATCAGCAGCTGAAGCCCGAGCGAAGCTGTTGCAAAGCAAAGTGAAGTTGGGGAGGAGCCACGACAAGCATCACCGGTGCGAGAAGTCAGCAGCTCAGTGCTCATGTCACATCTGCTCTCTGCTCTTCCTCCATTGTGGGGGATGGTGTTGGGTGTTCGTGGGTCCCCTCTTTGGGGTCTGGGGTGCAGGAAGGGTGCAAGCTGCTGTGAGGATGCTCTGGTCTATTCTACTTGGACCTGAACTCCTGAGCTTTTCTTCCGTGGCGGTCTCTCCCAGCACACACTTGGAGCTGGTGTTTGGCGTGGCCCTGGTTTGAAACCCCCAGGAGTACAGAGGGTCAGGGAGCCAGGTGTGTCGTCACCCCTTTCAGTGTGTGACAGCCAACCACCTTCTTCTCCAGTGGCATTTCAGCCACGCTCACGTGCAGCGACTTGTGCCTTCTGCAGAGACCTTCTCCTGCAGCCCCTCTGACCTCCTGACAGCTCCCCTCAAACCAGCTGCTCCAGGTTAGCTCAGGGAAGTCGCATCCTGCCAGTGCCAGGCTTTGATTCCCCATCCCACCCATCTTCTCTGGAAGGGTTTTGCAAGGAGCACGGACAAGCAGGAGGACAGTTCTCTATGCTGGAAGTCAGTCTGGCCTCAGCCCCTTGGGGCTGCAATTTAAGCGTGGCAAGGGGGCTGTTGAGGTGATTCAAAGCATGAGCAGTAACAGGTTTGGAAGGCTTAGCCAGAATTTCTAGAGCTTCCACTGAAGCCCAGATGTGGGGCAAAGCATAGCTGAGGGTCCATCTGGAAAAAGCCAAGAGGCCTGAAGATCGTCCTGGGGATGCACTGGCAGCGCTTTGGCCGTGGGAACTTGCTGACTGAGCGTAGGGAGCTTCTGTTTCTCAGCTGCCCTGGGTTTTGTTTCAGGTGCCTGCCTGAATGCCAAGGCTTGCGGGGAGCCGAGAGCTGTTGTTTCTGGCCCATTTAATCCGACCCGATCAGCTGCAGGGCTGCTGATCAGTCCCACTTTCCTCTGTGAGCTCTGAAGACCACACAGTCAAAACACCCACCAAAAACAACAGAAGCCCAGCAAGTGCTTACAGAAAGCAGGGAAGGGAGACAGGCACGTGGGGCCACACTCACGTGCGTGGGAGAGGAAGCAGGAGGTGAAACAGCGGCAGAGGCACGGGGGGCAAGAGGCGGAAACGGAGGGGGTGAGGTGTGCCTGGGAGAGCAGATGCCACTCCATCCTCTGCAACAGAAGGTACAAGTCAATAGGAGTGTGTGGGTGGAAATGCCAGCACTGAGCTCCTGGAGAGCTTCCTCAGAGATGAGGATGGATAAGTGTCTCTTGTTGAGCTGGAGCTCTTGTGTGGAGGACCGTCCAGGGCTTACCCACAGAAGGTGTCATGTTGTCCCAGATCCAATGGTTCCTGGCAACACTGGCTCTTCCCTGCCATGTAGGCACGTAGCTAAAGGCTGAACATTACTTTTAATGGGCTTATTTTGACCCCAAGTAAAGGCAGAGTGGGGCAGGCTGGGGAGATGCCACACAGTGCCTCTCTGGAGCGTGGAAACCTTTTCCCCAGCTCAAAGCCATGATTGCATTTTACCATGGTAGGTAGGGGTAGGACAAGGGGGAATGGGTTCAAACTGACAGAGGACAGGTTTGCTTACATATCAGGAAGAAATTCTTCCCTGTGAGGGTGGTGAGGCCCTGGCACAGGTTGCCCAGGGAAACTGTGGCTGCTCCATCCCTGGAAGAGTTCAGGTACAGGTCGGATGGGGTTTGGAGCAACCTGGTGTGGTGGAAGGTGTCCCTGCAGAGGTCCAGCAGCCACTGTGTCCCTGCAGCACCTACCCCAGTGACAAGCTCTGCTGCAAGCCGAGAGCAGCTCCTCACAACCGCTTTTCCACCCGAGTTGATGTGGAACAATACCTCGCCTCGGCTTTTGTTGCCGGCCCCACGTGCTCCTCAGAGGCAAGAATAAAACCCATCTGCGGGAGCGCTGGAAGGTGGAGGCGTGAAGCATTCAAGGTGTTGCTGAGACACAAGGAGCACGTCTCTTTCTGGACGAGGCTGACCTCATTCAGGGCAATCGGATCTGCGGGCTGAATGTAATCCCCCGCTCCCAGCCGACCGGACGGGAGAACGGCATTGTATCCCAGCGAGGAAATGAGACGGCACACTCTAATCCTGCAGTCAGGGTTGTTTTTTTTTTTTTTTTTTTTTTGTTATTATTATTATTTTTTGTCCTTGCTGAAGTAACCTCGGATTAGAAATTAAAGTGCTTGCACAGGAGAGCTGTAATTGCCTCTGGAGAAAACCCCCGGGCTCGTCGGTGGCACCTGATACTCTCACCCTGAATTTTACCAGCGACGATGTGACGGGATGGCAAATCTCTTTGTCTTCCCAGCTTTGAGCTCTTGCAAAGGGGATTTGGAGATTTTTAGGGTTTGGGAGTGGGGTTCATGTTGCCTGATTCAAAGCCCAGCACAGTTGGGTCTCCTGTCAGCCTTGGCTTGCAGGTGGGTCTGTGGTGCTGGGGGTGCATGTCCCGGAGGTGTCATGGTCACGGTTGTCCCACTGAAGGGCACTGGCCATCAGATCTTGGTGGCTCATCACCCTGTGCTATCTACAGCAACAGGGATGAAGTAGTTGAGGCCAGCAGCTCTCCAGGCTGTCCCCTTAGCTCCAAGCTTCCAGCTTGTCTTCCAACCCCCTTTGTTAGGTGTCCTCAGCTCCCCTTCTGGAACAATGAAACCCAGGGGAAATAAGGCAGGTGGTGAAATTGTGGACCCGAACCTAATTTTGCTCCCTTGCAAAAACCTCACAGAGAGAGAATTCAGCTGCAGTTGCGTTTCTTTTAGCAATTCAATAGCTGTGATGCAAATCCCTAAAACAGGACCAGGCACACAGGGTTGAGGGGATGTCTGGAGTGCACTGTACTTCAAAATAATGGATGCAATACGCTGCTGGCCCCTTGGCAGGTTGAGGCTGGCGTGAGAATCTGATGTTGTGGGGACCCCAAGATTAAGATCTTGAATCAGGGGCTGTTTTATCCCATCGTCCTGGCTTTGTTCGAGTCGTCTTATGCCAGGACCCCTCTGCATCTGTGCTGGGGGCTATGCAGGGGAAGCATTTTGGGCTCTGAGCAGCAGTGGGGGCACAATGCTAGTGTGATGCTCCTGGGTTTCTTTTCCAGGCCTTGGCCATACACCATTTTCCAGCGTGGCTTTGACTTGGTGCTGGGCGAGCAGCCATCTGACAAGATTTTTCGGTAAGCTGCAAAGGCAACCTGGTCAGCACATTTTGGGGCTTAAAACACAACCCAGGGCATACAGGCGTGCAGGTAGCCCAGCTGGCAGGGCTGAGCACAGCTGTCCTGTGCCACCTCCTGGGGACATGTGAGTATGGCTGGGAAGGTCCTCCTACAGCTGTCGTGTGGGATGCTGGATGGGCAGCAGTCAGTTCCTCCTCTCTATTCGCAGTGAGAGCGAGGTTTAGGCTCTGAGGGAGGATTTCTACAGGAAAATGAAAGTGCCTTTATTTTTTTTATGTATCACCTAAGTTGCATGTGATTTTTGGAGGTCATTTGGGTGCCTTTGGAGGAGCCACCCCTCTTTAGCCTGCCCATCCACCTTTGTTCAGGCTGGCATCTCTGCAGGGCAGTGGGGAGGTTCAGGGGCTTGGTTTTGGGCAGAGACAGCCCTCTGGGTTCAGCAATTCCCTCCTTGCCAGCCTTTGCTGCTCTCCCCGGCAGGTTCACCTACACCCTGGGGGAAGGCATGTGGCTGCCCCTGAGCAAGAGTTTCGTCATCCCACCAGCTGAGTTGGCCATCAACCCCTCAGCCAAATGTAAGACGGACATGACAGTGATGGAGGATGCAGTGGAGGTCAGGTAGGTGCAATGGCAGGATGATGGAGTTTAGGAGGAGTTTCAGCAAATAGAGCAGGGATCCCCATCCCATGTTTTGCAGATGGAGATTAGTACATCCACTAACCTGGCCCTCTTTGGTACCCGCAAAGCTGAGCCTTTGGAGGTACCTCTCATCATCTCAGTAGCTCCTGCATCCCTCTAAAAGCTTGGCTGCCATCCAGTTCACTGTCAACCCGAGGGAAACCTGAGCTCCGGAAAAACCCACGCAGCAGCCACGGGTCGTGCATGCGTTCACAGCGTCTCATCGGAGCAGCGACACATCCCTTCCTTCTCCTCCTCACAGGGAAGAGCTGATGACCTCCTCCTCCTTCGACAGCCTGGAGGTGCTCCTCGACTCCTTCGGCCCTGTCCGTGACTGCTCCCGGGACAACGGGGGCTGCAGCAAGAACTTCCGCTGCATCTCGGACCGCAAGCTGGACTCGACGGGCTGTGTGGTGCGTGGCCCCCTGGGGACCTGGAATCTCCTTTGGTGCGAGCGAGGAGGGGGAGGGCAGAAAGGGAATCCTTCCTCCCTTACCGTCACTTTGGGGTGGATATATTGGGGTTGATTTCGTAGCAAGAAGAGGGTTTAGGGTCGGCATCTCCTTTGCTGCCGCACATGCGCGTGAGGGAGAGAGAGTTCATCTGCTTGTTGGCTCTCTGAGAGGTCCCACACCACTCATGTGTGTCCCCTGTCACCACTACAGCTGCTCTTCCCCAAGACAGAGGGGTTTGTGGGGCCAGGGTGCCCTGCTGTGATGTCACCGGTGCTGGGCATTGGGGTGGAGAGACTGAGAGTGTGGGGCAGACATTGGTCTTGGAATGGGCAGCGTCGCTTTGGTTGTCACTGGAGCTGGGGGCTGGTGTGTGGGGTTGATGCCAGCACATTACCTTGGTGGGGGTTGGCTTGGAGGGCTCCCCAGGGCTGCAAAGAGGCTGTGGTGCAGGAGGAGTATCTGCAGCTGTGAATGGTGTTGCTGCTGTCTGTCCCACAACCCCCGAGCAGTGCTCCTGCTGCAGTGTCCAGTGGAGAGCAACCGGAGTGCTCCCCTCTGCCTCAGCCCCGGGGCCAGATTTCTTCCCTGGGGGTTTCACCTCTTCCTTCCCCCACCCCTGCCAGTGCCCCACGGGACTGAGCCCCATGAAGGACGGCACGGGCTGCTATGACCGTCACGTCGGCGTGGACTGCTCCGATGGCTTCAACGGGGGCTGCGAGCAGCTGTGCCTGCAGCAGATGGTCCCCCTGCCCGAAGACCCCCTGCTCTACAACATCCTCATGTTCTGTGGGTGAGTGGCCCAGCACCCACAAGGTGCTGCTGTACCTGGCTGCTGCCACCCTGAGCTCGTAGGGTTGGCATTGGAGGCGGGGGGTCTCCTCTGTTCCCAGTGCCTCTGCCGGGGTGGCCTGGTGGCCACCGCTGGGGGCTGCAGCTGATGGTGGGCCCCGTGCTGGCTTCCCAGGTGCATTGAGGACTACAAGCTGGGCACGGACGGTCGGTCGTGCCAGCTCATCTCGGAGTCGTGCCCGGAGGCGGGGGACTGCGGGGAGCCCCGCGAGCTGCCCATGAACCAGACGCTCTTTGGGGAGATCTTCTACGGCTACAACAACCACTCCAAGGAGGTGGCGCCAGGGCAGGTGCTCAAAGGGACGTTCAGGTGAGCTGGGGAGGTGACCCCAGCAGGGTCAGACCTCGCCATCCTCTCCAAGAAGAAGGCATGGTAAGGAGCCTGGTCCGTCCATGCCTGGCCAAACTTTGCAGAAGAGGGGAGGGCCGGTGGGGAGGGCACATCCGATGCTTTCCATCAGTAGTAGACATCTCTGTAATCTGTGCCTGAAGGAAAGGCTTGGTGCCAGGTGTTCTTTTGGGATGGGTCACCAGCTGGCTGGGATGATCCCAGGCATTTCGCCTGTCCTCCAACCCTGCCCTCCTCTCTGCAATTAACTTCCAGGCAGAACAACTTTGCCAGGGGCCTGGAGCAGCAGCTGCCAGATGGACTGGTGGTGGCCACGGTGCCCTTGGAGAACCAGTGCCAAGAGGAGCTCTCTGACCCCACACCTGACCCCGAGTTCCTCACCGGTGAGTGAGTCCAGTCCCACGCCTCTCTCAGCTGCCAGCATGCCCAGCTTGAGCCCCTAAATCTCCCAGGAGATACATCTCCTGGGGGATATATCTAGTCTGGCTTTAGCATCCTGGGCTCCTCTGCAGCAGCAGCAGCAGTGGTAAAACAAAGGCATTCAAAATAAGGGAGAGGCAAAGGCTTTAAATTAATTGTGTGGTGTAAAAGCTCAACCATCCATTGAATATTTGGGGTATTTGCAAAAAGCATTTTTTCTTTTCGAAGGCAAAAGAAGTTTTCCAGCTACCTTTAATTTGATTTCTTTGCCAAGGTAACAAACATTCGAAACCTGCCGCCACCAAACCAAAGTGTTTTGGTTTGCTCTGCCAGAGCACTGTGGGCCACAAGCAGTAGGGTTATCGTGGGTTCCTAGACAGCCTTCAAGGATCTACCTTCCTTCCAGCAAGTTGCCAGAACCCCTAAAATAGCCTTTGTTTCCTTGGTGTTTGTTGCTGTTGGCTGAAATGGCCCAGGGCATTGAGGAGCATTAAGGAAAGGATGTGGCTAATGAGGTCTTTTGCTCTCATAATACCAGACCTTGTGCTTTTGCTTTGTTTGGCAGAGCTTTCAGGATTTTGGGAAGCACCCATAGGCTGCACCCAGGGTCTGATGGATGCTGGTTGCTCTGACAGGGTGCATGGCAATGTAGGTGTGTGTGCAGGCAGATTGAGGCAGAGGGGAGAATGCTGCTGGGTATTTGGGGCTGAGCTACCCCAAGAGAGCTGTGCTGCTCCTGCTTCCATGGGGATGCTCATCCCTGTTCATGCTAGAGGAGGTGCTAGAGGACACCTGCATCCTAGTGAGATTCTCTTGCCTGTGACATGGGTACGTGGGTGCAAGGAAGGCACTGCCACCACAATCCCAGCATCACAGCAGTGTCAGTGGGACCAGGACTTTGCCGGCAATTACGCTGGGGAGGCAGAAGCCAGTAAATTATCCTATTCATTTCCCACCGCTCTGCCGGCTTGGTGGCTGATTAAGGTGGAAAAAAAAAAAGGGGAGAAAAAAAAAGGAAAAGAGGTAAAATATTCTCTGCTTGTCAGATCTGGATATCGCTGTGAATACACGAGAGGCAGAGCTGCTGAGTAAGGAAGGGCTGTTTTTGCATAAACACTTTGCAGGGAAGAGCAAGGCTTTGAAGCTGTCGGGAGCAGCCAGCACTGAAGAGAGAGAGGTGCTGGAAGGCAAAGGATCTTATCCTGCTTATCCTCCACCTTCAGTTCTTGTTAGAGGGGGGGATGCCCGCCGTTATCCTCCTGAACTCCTGCTGGGTGCCTGTTTAGCAGCAGAGTTGCTGCTTTTGCTGCCAAGCGGAGGCGTGACGTGCGAGGGAGGAGGTGGCCGTGTCCCGGCATCTTCCTGTGCCACACCGAAGTCACCCAAGTCAGAGCCACGAGCACCCTTCAGTTCCCATTCCTGAGCCTCTGTCTGAGGCTTGGTGGCCTCTCTGTCCCTCTGCTCATGGAAGCTGAGCTGCCACGTGCCTTGGGCAGGTGTAAGTGGCCGCCCAGCCCTGGTCTCCGTGAATTTCTGCCTTCTGTAACTCACAGTTAAACGGCTGAAAAACGAGGTGGCTCTGCCTGGAGAAGGACAAACCCTGGGTCCTGCTCAGGCCCAGCATTGCTGTAATGTCCTGGGGGAACATCAGCATCAACTTGCAGATTTCCCCCGTACATCTGTGCCCACTCAGCTCAGCCCCAGCCCAAAGGGACCCAGGGCCCCTTGGCCGCTTGCACTTGGGCACACGTGGCGTGACGGTGACCGTTCCCAGGCCTGCAAACAGCTCATTAAAAAGCGCAGCTCTCATTAGCGAAATAATTAGCACACCTGGGCATGCCTTGGGAGCGGGCACTGGGAAGGAAGCAGGAGGGGATGCAGGAGGAGGCTCGTTATCTGCCGCCGCAGAGCCCCGGACGGGCAGGATGAAACGAGCCTACGTGTTTCCCTTCAAAGCCATCATTTTAATTGCTGGGGAGCAGCTGACCCTCAGCTCTGAATGCTTCCCTGGGGAGACTGTGGTGTGTGAACAACCCTTTTCCCTGGCTTCTTCCCACCCTGCTGGCTGTGTTGCCCCAGGTATGAAGGGCTGCAGCCATTCCCGTGGAGAGGCATCCGTGGGCAGTGGCACTGAGCCCCCGTGTCCTTTCTCTGGCAGGGATGGTGAACTTCAGCGAGGTGTCTGGGTACCCCCTCTTGCAGCACTGGAAGGTGCAGTCCATCATGTACCACGTCCGGCTCAACCAGATGACCATCTCCCAGTGTAAGCATGTGGGGACAGGGGGAATGGGGGGAAAAGGGAGTGGAAAGAGGATAACATAGCTTTCTGCTGGCAGGTGATGGGCTCAGGGATTGGTTGCCCATCACAAGTGTGTAGGGAGGTGACAAGGGCTTGTCTGAGCATCTCCTCCATCTCTTCTCCTTCCCAGCCTTCAGCAATGCCCTCCACTCCCTGGATGGGGCCACCTCCCGTGGAGATTTCGTAGCACTGCTGGACCAGTTTGGCAACCACTACATCCAGGAGGCAGTGTATGGCTTTGAGGAGTCCTGCTCCATCTGGTATCCCAACAGGCAGGTCCAGCGGCAGCTCTGGCTGGAGTACGAGGACATCAGCAAAGGTAGGAGCCCTGCTGGTCCCCAGGAAGGATCTCCACAACTGCCCCATGGGAGCGGGAAGCTCAATTTGCTTTTGGCATAGCGAGGAAAGTGCCCAGCCTGTTCCATCTCATTTACACCCTGCTTTCTCACCCTTGGACGCTGGGCAAAGGACTCCTGTGGCTTGCAGCAGGCACTGGTCTGGGCCATAAAGAAAGATCAATACCCACACCCCCAGGGAGATGAAAGACGAGTGCACTAATCCCACCAAGCCATCCTGCCTGATTCTGGACTTAACTGTTGTTTGTCTTTAATCCTGTTCCTTCCTTCCTTTTGTCTCCTTCATATCTGCTCTCTTCCACTCGTGCCCCACAGCCAGACTTTTCTCCATTTCATGTGTCCCCTTCTCCTGGGCTGTCAGTGCCGTGCTTTTAATGCCTGGAAACCAGGTAGGAACTGGGAGGTTCCTCGTGGTGCAGAGGGCATCTGGCACTGCTGTATCCCCTCCAGTGCCCTCGCTGCAGTGAGCTGTGATGGATCCCCGGTGGAAGAGCTGATGGCTGGTTTGGTTGCCAGCTTTACAAAAGCTGAGGCAGCCTAAGGCCTGCCTGCTGCCACCTGTCCCCAGGACCACGGCAACCTGGGCTAGTGGAAGGTGTCCCTGCCCATGGTAGGGAGGTTGGAATGAAATAATCTTTACAGTCCCTTCCAACTCAAACCATTCTAGCGTTCTATGACCTCTTGCATTGGCCTTTTAGGCCACCTTCCTTTGCTGCCCCTGCACAGGAGCTGTCGGGTGTGGGCAGTGTGAGCTCGGAGCTCACAGTCACCGTGACCAAAACATCATCTCCATCACGAAGCTTCCTAGTTCTCAGTATTGGCACCAGCCTACAGTGCTGCCCTTGCTGTGCCCCAGCCACGGAGACATTTGTTTTCTCCCCAGGGCTCTTGTGTGGGAAGGGCTTCTTTCAAAGCCTGAGTCTGGATCCTGCGGGCTCAGACCTCCTGGAGCCTGGACTTCTTTCCAAGCCCACCTGGAAGAGTACACTACCCATTGCTGTTTTGCTGTGGGCTGTCTCCAGATGTAGCATCTTTTGATTGCAAGTACTTCTTTTTCTTTTTTTCTTTTTTTTTTCCGCCTGCAATTTCCTCCTCTTTGATTTTCCTGCTTGGAGGCTTTTCAGGTCTGGCAGTCTTTTTCCACCCACAATATCACATTTCAGTTTCACTCTGGCACCTGCCACTTTCCCTCCTTTGCTTTTTGTTTGCAAACGTCAGGAGCTGGATATCGATTGAGAAATTGCAAGAGACAAATCATTCCCTGGCTCCTGTGCTTTCCCTCAGCGCCTGCTAAGCTGCAATTCACAGCCAGCCCAAAGTGATCCATCCCCAGCTCGCTGAGGGGAGCAGAGCAACACTTTTGTATCCCGGTTTTGTTTTAAAAGCCTTGTTTCCTTTGCAGGAGTCTCAAGGATGGGCTAGTGCTGGCCCATTTCTCTGCAAGTCCGTGCTGTAGGACGATTTTCCTCTTGAGCCGTGGATGTGCTCCGTGGTGGCTCCCCACAGCAGCCAGCCTGTACCAAACCACCACCAGCGATGGCCCGAACCTGCTCCAGGGGAGAGGCTTTGCCTGGGCATCCTTCAGCTTTCCCCCACCCCCACTGACCATCCTCAGTGTTCCCTCTAGGCCCCTCTTTCTTCTGTGTAAAGCCAGGGATATCCTTCAGCAGGGATTTTGTGTGAAAAGCGCTGTTTCCTAGGACAGCAAGGGCAATGCCACCCAGGGCACAGCAGAGATGGACAGATCCCACCTTGACTTCTGGGCCAACAGTTTTCCCCTTGTGCCAAAATATTTCCTGCCATGGGAATGCTGGAGAAAAGCCCACTGAGTGCAGGGTCTGGCTCACTGCCCTGTGTGTTGGGAACACAGTGGCACCCAGTGTCAGGCATCTCTGCGTGGAGCTGGGAAAGGCATAAACCGTGGCAATGCTTTCCTGCTGCAATTTTTTTTCCTGAGCCAGTTGCATTGCAGGGTAACCTGAGAGTTGGTAGCATCTGCTTCCCATCTCCATTTCCCTGCGTGGGGACCAAGTGTAGGAGGAGTGGAGAGGCTGGAGAGGGGCTTGGTGGGTTTGTAGCCAGCTTGGGAGCTTTCTGGGCAACATGAGGCACTGGCAAGTCTTCCCTCCTCCCTCTGAGCTCTGCAGTGCTGCCGGCCTTTGTCAGGGGGGGTGAACCAAGCGCACCCTGGTCTGACACTTATCCTCTCTGGTCTCCAACACACCCTGTCACATCAGCTGTGGTGGGGATTCTTGGGATCCAAAGGAGGGAATCAGCTGTTGGGTCAGGAGGGCTTTTGCAGGGGAGTGGTTTGGCAGGGGCCTTTGGTGGGGTGTCAGCGCGGGGTGAAGATGCCCAGGCAGGTCCTTCACAAGTCTCCAGACACATGACGGAGGCTCCCTCTCGTGGGGACCTGCTGCAAGGGTGGTCTGTCCCACCACCTTCCCAGTGCCAGGTGAAGGGATGGGGCTGGGGGAACTCAGGCACGGGGAGACCAAAAGACCTGTGATGGCAGAGGCCAGGATGGGCTTTTCCGTTCTGATTCCTCCTCTGAAGACCTTTCATCCCTACAGAGATAACAGCTCCTCAGGATACAGGGATCCATGGGCAGCTCTGCCTCTCTGCTGGGTGGAAGGCAGAGCTCCAGCCCCCTCACATTCCCTTATCAATGGCTCCTATCCCACCCCGGTGCTTCTCTTTTCCCCCTTCCCCAGGCAACTCGCCCTCGGACGAGTCGGAGGAGCGCGAGCGGGACCCCAAGGTGCTCACCTTCCCCGAGTACATCGCCAGCCTCTCCGAGTCGGGCACCAAGCGCATGGCAGCGGGCGTGCGGATGGAGTGCCGGAGCCGCGGGCGCTGCCCATCCTCCTGCCCGCTCTGCCACGGTGCCTCCAGCCCCGACGCGCCAGCCGAGCCCATCCTGCTGGAGGTCACCAAAGCGGCCCCCCTCTACGAGCTGGTCACCAACAACCAGACCCAGCGGGTGAGGAGCCACGTGCTGCGGGTGTTGGGGTGTTGGGGCGGGCATGGGAGGTAGCAGGATGGCACTGTGGTGGTCTTTGAAGGCAACTTGCCCTGTGATTGCACCATGTCAAGCCAAGGGACCCCTTGCCCATTGGCCAGCCCTGCTCTCAGGGTGGATGGACTGTGCTGAACCTACCGGGGGATAGACGAATGCTGGCTCAAGTGGGATGGGAGGTCACCAGGTCACCTGCCCAGCGCTCAACCCCCTCCTCTCTCTCCCAGCTCCTGCAGGAGGCCACCATGAGCATGCTGTGGTGCTCGGGCAGCGGGGACGTCATCGAGGACTGGTGCCGCTGTGACTCCAGTGCCTTCGGGGCCGACGGGCTGCCCACCTGTGCGCCTCTCCCCCACCCCATGTAGGTCTCCACGCGTGCCCAGGCCTGGCTTTTTGGTATGGGGGGTCTGTGAGGAGGTGGTGATGGCCAACAAACAGCATGGTGGTGGGAGGTGGTGGGGCTGAGGGGTTTTGTGGGACAGGTTTGCAAACTGATGGTTGACCTGGAAAACAAGCAGAGAGTACAGAGCTGTAGTGTCTTTTCTAAATTAATTGAGGACTGGGGAACTGGGTGGGGATCCATCCTGGTAGTGCAACCCTAGGGAAGGAATCTTTTGGACCAGCATTCCCAGAGTCAGGAGGGGTAGGGCAGGGGCAGTCACTTCTCTCCCGAGGTTGCCATCTCCCACGGGTTAATGGCTTTGAATCCCTTTTGTTGTGAGAGAGTAACACAAAAACTGTCCCCCAGCCTGCGTCTCTCCACCGATCACGAGCCCAGCAGCACACTGGTGGTTCTGGAGTGGGGGCACTCGGAGCCCCCCATCGGGGTGCAGATTGTGGACTACCTCCTCCGTCAGGAGAAAGTCACCGACAGAATGGACCACTCCAAGGTGGAGACAGGTGAGTGGGGACTCCACTGGCTCTCTCTGGGGAAGTGGGATGGAGATGTTGGAGGAGTTCCCCTTTTAGCAAGGGGATGCTGCAACATATCCAGTGTCCTGTGGAAGAGACAGCAGCCCCTCCTGCCCATCCTGCTGCAGAAGTGGCATCTCTACTTCTCCTGGTGATGAGCCTTGCTGGAAAAGCAATGGGTCCATCTCTACACCAACCAAGGCGTGGGCCTTGCCCCTTGCCTGGGCACTGGGCAGCGTGTCAGTGGGCACAGACCTCAGTGGCTCTCCACAGCCCCAGGGTCACCCGTGTCATTGCCTGTGGCACATCCTCCCCTCTCTCCCTAGAGACGGTGCTGAGCTTTGTGGACGACATCATCTCTGGTGCCAAGTCACCCTGTGCCATGCCAGCCCAAGTGCCTGACAGACTCTCCTCCACCATCTCCCTCATCATTCGCTGCCTGGAGCCCGACACCACCTACATGTGAGTCTCCTCCCCCATGCCATGCCCAGGGCAGTGCTGTCACCCTCACCGTGGTGGTGTTACCTGATGCTGCCTGTGTTTCCATGAGGTCTTGGGAGTCCAGAGCTTCATTTTTTTTGTTCCTTCTTATACAGGTTCACACTCTGGGGAGTTGACAACACAGGAAGGCGTTCCAGGTCCAGTGATGTGACGGTCAAGACCCCCTGCCCTGTGGTAGATGATGTGAAAGCTCAAGGTGAGAGGGAGGGAGCTGCTGGACTGTGATCCTTAGGAACAGCAGTAGGGTTTTCCCCCTTCCAGTATGTCTCTGCACTTATCTTGTGTCTTGGCTGTAATATCTCCTGCATGTGCTGTGGAGGGTTGGGATGGAGAGCTGCAGGAGGCACATGTCCTCCCTGAAAACAGACATAGATGAATGGTATTTCACTAACAGTACCTGATGGCACCACCCATTTCTTTTCCTAATTAGACCAGATTACGGGAATCTAACCTGGACTGAGTCCAGGGAATGCCATCTATTCTGTTACTCCTCCGCTGGGACCTTGCCTTGATATGATGTAAATCATAATTCAGGGGACAAATCTTCGTCCTGATCTTGGTTTCCCTAGAGCTGAGCTTTAGCCTGGTGGGCTTTATTCACACCTTTCCTGGCACCCCACTGAACAGTCCCTGTCCTTCTGCCCAGAAATAGCAGACAAGATCTACAACCTGTTCAACGGCTACACGAGCGGCAAGGAGCAGCAGACAGCCTACAACACTCTGCTGGACCTGGGCTCCCCCAGCCTCCACCGAGTCCTCTACCACTACAACCAGCACTACGAGAGTTTTGGGGAGTTCACCTGGCGCTGTGAAGATGAGCTGGGGCCCAGGTAGGCTCAGGAGCTGGGTTGGTTTGGCAGGCAGGTCTAGATGTTGGTCACCAGGACCAGCTCTCTGAAAATCTCATGAGTTGATGGTGGATGATAAGGCTTAGAGTCTCGCAGTGGGATTTCTGTTTTGGTGGATGCTGTGCACGTGTTTAGGGACCAGACATCTGCCCTGAAGGACCATAAACACAGGACAAGGTAGAAAGTGGCTGACCACTGTCGACCCAACATCTTTGTCCATCCATCAGCCCTTTCCTGCTGCTGGAGTTTTTCCCGCTATGTTCGTGCTATGCATAGTGGGGAGGAGATGGGATTCTTCTTTCTCCTTGGTAGCTGATGCCACAGGCAAAAAGGCAGAAAGTCTTGGAAAAATAATGCACCTTTGAGGGATGGAGACTCTGCTCTCCTGCTTTTCCTGGGATTTGACTTGATTTGCCTGCATCTCACTAAAAATGCTAAACTCACTGTCAGTTGTGGTCCAAAGCAGTCCAAGACTGACCTTAGGTCTGAATTGCACGTGTTCCCTCCCTTTTGATTCATGTCTGTGCTTGTACACGTGTTTTTGGTGCCCAGGCAGTGCTGAGCTGCCACGGCAGCTTTTGGAAGAGCTTGTCCTGAGCTTTTCCTGGCTGAAACAGTCCTTTAGTGCCTGAGTGAGCACCATGTCTTCTCCTAGGGCTCCTCCAGGTCACGAAAGGCCCTCCAGCTGCCTGAGGATGGGACACCTCATGTCCCAGGCTTGTGGAGGCAGCCAGATGTTCCCTTCTCCCCACATCCTTCAACATCTGCTTTAGTCTGTGTGGTTTCCCAGTAACGTAGATGTTTCCAGTCAGTTTAGCAAGCTGCACTGGGAGATTGCGTGTGCTGCAGTGGTGTTTCACAGCATCTGGCCTCCAAAGAACCAGAGCCATGAGATCATCTGCAGACTTACTTCAAATGTACGTCAGCAACAGCTCCTGTGTGTGAAATCTATGGCCTCCACCTTGTCCTGTGCCCTACACCTCCTTTTGCTGGTCTCACCACTAGATGTCTTCCAGCCCTGCTTCTCCAGGTGATTCCTTCAGGATTTCTAGCAGAGGATTGGAGATCCCTCCACGTACCTTCTTTGTCCTCCAAACCTCTGCTAACCAGTCAGAAAGATCCAGCAAATAGTTGGTGGCTGTCTTGCACTTAATGTCTTCGACATGTCTCCTATTCAGCTTTGGTAGGAGACTCCTAATGGATTCTCCATGCCCTGGAGCAAAGCTGGGGGCTCTGTCTTTCCCCTCTTCCCATTTATGTCCTAAGAAATGTGAGCTCAGCCTGAAAGCTCAGTAGTGACATCCCAGCACATGGAGTCTGGTTAAGGCAGAGGCTCCCACCAGCTCCTCTGCCCAGGGTTGCCTCATTCCCATGACACCAAGTAGGATCAGCAGGCCTGGACTTAACGTCTCACCTTCGTCTCGAGCCCAGCTGCAGTGATGCCGCTTCCAGATGTGAAATCCAGCCCTGGTTTGCACAGACCATCTGACATCTGTTGTGATGATTTGCAAGAAGGAGTACATAACATTCCTGACGTGACACACTGGAGCTGTCACACAGCCACTGCCATCGCTGTGGCTGAGCTTTGCCGTCACCGCCCCGGTGAGGAGACCAAGCACCGACCAGAACACGGGGTGGAAGCTGCCCCCCTCGAGCCCCAGGAGGCAGAGGTGCATTGGCACAGAGCAGCCAGAAATGCCACTGAATTACCCATTTGCTGCATGAACCTACGAGCCAGAGGGTTAATTCCACCCTCTGGAAATGCCGGAGCGCTTAGGCCGGGATGACGCAAGTTGCTGATGAAGTGTTTGCAGCTCGCGCTACTTGGAAAGAGACATTCAGGCAGCTGCAGCGGGTTCTGGTGATGACAAATCTTGGAAAGCAGACCTCCTGTTTGATCGTCTGCGAAGGCAAAGCACCCAGACTGGTGGTGACAGGACAAATCACTTGCAGATGACATTATTTAGCCAGCAGACAGCGTTTGTTTGACTGTTACTGATGCTCCTTTGAAGTCCTGGATGCGGACCCACGCGACTGACTCTGCCGCGTCCCTCCTCCTCCTCCGTCCGTCCATGCCACCTCCTGCTTTGCTCATTTGGGGCGCACTCGCCTCCCTTCCTGGCAGTGCTGTCCGCTGGACTGAAGGAAGATAACTTGTCTGAGTGCAGATAACTTGTCTGGGGTTATGAAAGCGAGTCGCTCCCTCCCGGTCCAAGAAGGGCTGCAGAGAGCCCTGGACTTTGCATAAGGAGAGGAAATGGAGAGAAAAACAAGTAATAAGTGGAAGTTGGATTTGAAGGAAAGCCTGGTGAAATCTGGTGTCCATGGGCTTCGAGCCAAAATCTTTGGGATCCTGTGAGGGTACCTGTAATGCTGGAAGAAGAGAGGCAGTTTTGGCACCTTGCCTATGTGTCCAGATGCAGGGACCAAGGCAAGTGAGACCTCAGCTACCTTCTCATGGCTGGAAGAGCTGGCCAGCTTGGGTGGCTGTCTCCAGAGTCAGCACCATGCTGAGCACCTCTGCATTTCTGCCATGCTCTGGTTGCGAGCCCCTGGGGTGGCAACTGTCACGTGGCTGCAGAGCTGGAAAACCTCTCCCTGGCTCCAGACTGGCCCCTTGGAGCTGCAGCCGCATCTATGATGGACCTCTTGAGAGTTTTCTCTCCAGGAAAGCTGAGGTTGGCTCTGGCTGGACTTGAGATAAATTAAATCCTCTCTCAGCAGCTCTCCCACAGTGTACCCTGCTTGGAGGAAGGTGTGGAGGGGCTGTGGATATTCCTCTGTGGTTGGTAAACGTGCCCTTGAGCTGACAAGCCAGGCACAGCGCAGCTGTGTGCTCCACACACCACCCCTGCTTACCCAAGTAAGAATGTGACAAGGAGGGATTTTTTTTTCTCCAGCATCATGATTTGTGCCCCCACTGCCTGTTCTGTGCTGAGCATATGCTGAGTTAAAGCTACCAAGGGGACATATCTTCTCTTTTCTGACTAAACCAACCCACCAACTGACCTTGAAGCTGTGTAGGAAACTTATCCCAGCTCTTCAGACACTTAAACTTTTGTCTGGGTTTCCAGGCACGAGATACTCACCTTCAAGACACTTCGTTTGAATCCATTACCTCCACATCTGCCAGAATCCCTGGAGATCACCCAAAGTGCGAGACAAGTTTAAAATGAACATAATGTGTTTTATCTGAACAAACTGATTTTCTTGATAAAAGCATTAGAAGCACAATTTTAAGAGGAAAAATTTGAAGAGAACACAGTTTAGGTCATATTTGGCTGGGATCCTCTGAGCTCTTCCAATATCTCATCTAACATGAGAAGTTGGTGGTTTAGCACTTTCTCACCACCAGAACAAGCCTGCACTGAGGCCGTGTTGCCCTGGGGGTGCTGTATGTCTGTTGCAGAAGATGGATTCATCTTGGACCTGCTCTCCCTCCGTCATCTGACCTTGTCTCCTGGCTGGGTTGCAGCTCTTCACGAAGTGCTACTGCTGTGACTTGTCTTCCCTTGGTTTGCTCTCTGCAATTGGAAATGCATGTACAAAGAACTGGGGAGTTCTGCCACATCCTCTGCTCTCTCAGAGCTTTTTGGATCAAACCTGTGTTTGATGTGTACCTCAGTATATCCCTTCTAGCTTGAACACTGTCCTGTGGGACGTTTCCCAAAATGTTACTAAACATTACAAGTCATGTAACAGGAGTGTTGTTCACTGCACTTACGCCTTGTGATATTGCATCTTATGAGGATCATAGTTTTTATCTCACTTTCAGCTTCCATACAGATCCCCCCAAGCCAGGCATGACACTGTGATTTGTTTTTTGGTTGTTTTTTTTTTTTTTTTTTTTCTTAAATCTCCTTCATCCTCAGTGGTCCAGTTGGGACTGCTCATTTCTGGCACTGGAGAAGTTGTAGATGCCCCATTCCTGGAAATGCTTAAGGGCAGGTTAGATGGGGCTTGCAGTAACCTGGTCTAGTGGAAGGTGTCCCTGCCCCCATGGCAGGGAGAGTGGAATGAGATAGTCTTTAAGGTTCCTTCCAACCCAAATCTATCTGTGATTCTGTGTGCCACACCGAGCCATGAGTGACCAGCACAGTTCTCAAACATGCAACACCTGGAGAGGACACACGTGCTGACCCTGGTGTGGGCTGGCTCCACGTGTCATGCCTGACACTTTTTAGCCTTTGTCCCCACTGCCTGCAGTGCTATTGGCTCCCAGTTTCCCCACCCTGCTATGTTTAGGGTCCAGTAGCTGCAGCAGGGACAGGTGTTGCCATTTGAGTCATTGGTGATGTCCACCCCAAAGGGGGTTTAACAGCTACACCCGTGACTGTCTCCTCACTAAACCCTCAGAAAACCCTGCAGGTGAATGAAAAAGAGAGGACAGGACAGGAAAGTGTAAGGGTAGTCCCAAGACCAGTGCAGCAGGCGGTGACACGGGCATCTCTGCCCTGGGTGGAGGCTGTTCTCCCATGCGTTTAGATTGCAGTGCTGCCTTGGGGATGGTGTGTTCCTCCAGCCCTGCCACCCCTCCTCATCCTTGCAGCGTCAGCCTCCACTCACCTACTCTCAAGTTATCTCTTCTCTCTCAAGAAGCTCCCGTTGTGTCCTTAACTGTCTTTACTTTTCTCTCCTCACACACTCCTGCTGCCCTTCCCGCCATCCCCCTCCATGGTGTCTCCATCCCTCCCATCACCCCCTCGCTGTCCATCGTCCCCCTTGGCATCTCCCCTTGCCCGCCCTCGCTGCAGGAAGGCCGGCCTCATCCTCTCTCAGCTGGGGGACCTCAGCAGCTGGTGCAATGGCCTCCTGCAGGAGCCCAAGATCAGCCTCCAGCGCTCGTCCCTCAAGTACCTCGCCTGCCGCTACAGCGAGATCAAGCCCTATGGGCTCGACTGGTTGGAGCTCAGCCGGGACCTCAAGAAGACGTGCGAGGAGCAGACGCTGAGTGTCCTTTACAATGACTATGGGGACAAGGACTACTGAGGGTGGCGGGCACCCCGCTCTCACGCTGGCCTTCCCATGGGCGCTTGTGAGGGTTTTATACGCGGACCCGTGGAGGGGGAGGGTGTCACTGATGTTTCTGGAGGCAACAGTTTGGACCGGGGAGCAAAACCGACTGCTCTGTGCAGGACTTACTCAGTATTAGTTTCTTCTTTGACTTGGGCAAAAGCCTTTCTAGTTAGAAGTCTTGTGGGACCCAGTTTTCTTGGTTTTGTTTTATTCATTTTGCCAAGAGGTTCCTCAGCACCAGTGGAGAGGGCAGGTTGGGAGGGCACAGCCCTCTCCTCCTGCCCCATCCCTGCCCTGGCTGTGGGGACCGTCCCCAAGGGTGGGGGGCACTGGTCACGGGAGAAACTCAGTGACACAACCAGGATGGGAGAGCAGGTGACGCAGGGTTGGGAAAACGGAGGCAGGGCATGCAGGTCAGGTGGAGATGCTTATGGTTATGGCTGAGCTAAACAGCCACTGGATGGCCAGCAGGGTTGGGATGGGGTTTTTTTGCAACTGTGAAGCATGAGATCTGGATGAGACGTGGCCAAGCAATGATGCTATTGGTGGGCAGGGCTGGCGTGGTGTCACCATCTGGGGTGAGGAGAGAGGGGCATTGGTGAGCCCATCTCCTCAGGTTCTATGCCATGGTCAAAGCTCCAAGATGCAGAGTGCTCCTGAACAAAGGCAGCTTGGCCTCAGGGCCGGTGGTCAGCTGGACATCACGAGCTTTCTTCTTGTGGGACCACATTCCTAGGAAGTCAAATTTAAAATCCCTCCCAATAATTTTTCTTTTTTTTTTTCTTCTTTTACCCACCATAATAAAGACTTTGAAGCAATGTCAAACTGCTGCTGAGGGGAGTCCCAGCCAGGAGAGCAGCAGCCAGATGGTTCTGAGGGGGTGACCATCTGCACCAGCCAGTGTAGCTGTGGTGTAGCCCAGGCTCTGCGTGGGGAAGGGAGAGGAGTGCAGGGCACCCCAACACAGTGGTGCAGGGTGGTGCTGAAGGGCATGAAGGGCAGGCTTCTGGGGGGATTGCTTGCCTGTGGTCAGGCTCACATCTGCAGCTCTTTGTGACTTTTTTTTTTTAAAACCAGGGTTGCACTGGGACACTGGGCTTGGTTCAGAGCAAGCTGTTCTCCAAAACCCTGTCACCGCTGATGGTGTTGGAGGCAGAAAACAGCTTCCTTTCAGCTCCAGCTTCCAGCCTGGTTTGCAGAGGAGGCACCTCTGGACTTGCCAGCTGCGCACCTTTGATCTGGACAAGCCCGGAGCCCTACAGTGGGATTTTTACGATGCCTCTTCAGAGAGAAATTTCTCTTTAATTTTTTTCAGTCTTGGCAGGAGCAGTCTTCAGCCTGTCTCATACAATTTTCTGCCTCATTCCTCCTCCTACCTGCCAAGGACATGGTTCGAATATTTGCGTGGTGCTGAGAGGGAGGCGGCTGTGCTCTGCCGCCGGTCACGGCCCACAGCGCTCTATCACAGTGCTTTCTCAAACAGCAGTTCAGTATCTCCCTGCAGGACCACACCGTGCTTTTCTCTTCCCTTTTAATGGGCAGACCTCTCTCCAGGGGCAGCTGGCCTGGGCTGGGGAGCTACTGGGAGCAACCACCAGCAGTCAGTGTTACCTGGGCATCTCTATGTTTTCGCTGTAATGAATGTGTCTAGCAGGGGTTGTCAGAGAAGCACCTGCTGTGTGTAAGAAAGAAGTCTGCTGGATCCTTTTGGCTTTTTCTCATGTTTGTCCTTATATTTTGGTGTGCCTGATGCTGCCAAGGGCTCGGGGCTCAGAGCAAGACCAGCACAGGTACATATGGGCAGGTGATCCGTACTGAGCCACCGCTCCTTTTCCTTTCAGCCACCAAGACTCTTGGCCAAGACACTTAAGTTTATCCTTTTGCTTACCCCAGCAAATGCTGAGACAACTTTTAACTTCCAGCCAGGCAACTGTCCAGGGTTGGGCAAAGGGCACCTCCACCCAAGGCCTCGGTGGGATGCTTGAACGAAGGCTGCTCTGGCCCAGATGCCGGTTGGTTTCTCGCCAAGTAATACTGTGTACACGGCCTTTATGTGAAATGCAGACTGTTTTCCTTTGGGTAGCAGACTCCTCTCTTTTATTGCTTACCAGGTGCAGCAGCAGGGACAGGAGCAGTGCCACGTGCCAGCCGCTCACTGCGACGCTGCCAGGAAAACCCTGGACACCCCGTGTGTTCACACCTGCCTAGGTTGTTTTTTTTCATCTGGCCCCAAGATTTGCACCGAGGCTCTGCAGAGATTTCTGTTCTGCTTCTGTGCTGACACTTCAAAGCCCTTGCACGGGGTGACCGACACGCTGCAGCATCGTCAGCTGGCTGGGCTGGACTCTGCTCCCTCGGCCCCAGCGTCCCCACGGGCTGGGATGTGGAGGGCGAGGGGAAAGCCACCCCTCTGAGGTTCTTTGGCATCACCCCTCATCCATCCCATTATGGACAGCACAGTCTGCTGGTAGGGCTGTGCTCTGCCTGGACGCCGTGGCATTCCTGCAGCCACTGTGCTGGCAGGTCCTGGCAGGGTGGCACATTTTTGGGGCCACTCTCACCATGACCCTGGCTTTGGGAAGGCTTCCTTCTTGGTTTCCTCACTCTGGCTTTGCCAGTCAGAATTTTGCCCAAACTCGGATTTTCTTGCCAAAATCTCTCCCCTGACACACATCTCAGACAAATGCCAACAGCCTGCCACGGGGGCCCAGACCAGACCAGGGGGTTTGCACCGTGGCTGTAGATGTGGCCTTAGGGAGGTGAGTTGTATGGGGCTTGCTCATCCAAAACAGGTGTGCCCTGGTCTAGTGGAAGGTGTCCCTGCCCATTGCAGTGGGGTTGGAAATATATGATTTTTAAGATCCCTTCCAAACCAAACCATTCTATGATTCCCGGTAAAGCTGACGCTGTCCACATCTGGCACAGGGTCCTAGGGTTGGGTCTGCACAATATTTTCTCTCTTGGACTCCTGATTCTTCCTATGCTGCCAGCAACATGAAAACTGGATAAGGCGCTGTTTTCCATCCATTTCCGCAACCTCCTTTGCCCCCCTGCCCTCCCTTTATGTTTTATTTCTGAATTAATGAGCGATCATTCACCTGAGATGAACCTCTGGGTCGTTACCTTTTCTTTGCTGCGTCCGTACCCCTGTAATAGCATTACTACCTTTTACTTGTTGTGGAGTTATTTAACATATAAAGATGGTTTGGTCCTTTTCTTTACAAAGATGGCTACAGTTCATGTTCCTTGATGTTCTATTAAAACTCTAATGTGACGTTTTACTACTGTAGATTGAAAGTAGGGTGCTTTAGGGTGAGATAGCCATGTGGCAAGAAACACAAAACCCTTCTGGATTACTTTAAAAAAAAAAAAAAAAAGGAAAGAAGAAAAAGGTTTTAAACAACAGCAACAACAAGAAAAAAAATCATTGTAACACTATGTAAAACTCCAGATGATAATTTAACTGACTATTAAATGGAGCTATTAGTAATCCCTGGCTCTGGCAAACTGGAGTGTTTGTTTATAGTTTTGGTCCTGTTGATGTCATCTTCTGGTCGCGGATGAAACACTCCCAGCCTTTGAACTTGGGTGAGTCTTCACACAAGTTTAGCATTAGCCTGTCTGCCCACTGGGTTAGCCAAGTCCCAAACCACTCAGCACACACAGACAGGGCCGTGTCCTGCTCCCTGCCTTGCCCACCTGCTCTGCCGGGCTTGGGAAGGTGTGGATGTCTGCAGGCACCTTCGGGTTTTCGTGGAAAAACTGCATTTACACATCCTTGGCAAGGGTCTCAGTCTGCAAACCTTCACAGGGGCTGGGAATTTGGAAGCAGAGTCAAAAAAAGCTTCTTTTAGCTGTTTTATTTTAGTACATAAGGTGGATGGGATGGTGCTGTCTGGTGTCCAGCCATCCCCTGAGAACATCCTGGTCCATCTGGCAGACTTTTGACAGAGGACTAGGAGCATCATGGATATTAACATCCTACAAATGATGTGAAAACCAGCACCTGGACAGAGGTGAGAGCTGCAAAGGATGCCTTAAAAGCCACTCACGGTGCAGTGTTGTGTCTAATGCTCAGGCCATCAGGACTTAAAAGGGCTGGTCCTTTGGCCAAGCCTGATGTGTATTCCCACCTGCCCTGCCAGATGGGTGGGAGACCTGGGGAGAGCCAGGGATTACTGCAGGCAGGCAGACAGGATGCCTGGGAGGACACAGGAGAGTGGGAATTTAGGGGCTGTAGCAGAGAAATCCATAGGAAACCAGACTTCATTAAGTCTCATGGAACAACTCGATTTTTATTTTTTTTTCCTCTTCCTGCTGCTAAAATGCAGGAAACTAAGCTAAAAATACACCCAATACTTTCCCTCTGCTATTTTCCCTACAAGTTAAGTGCTGTGGCTGCCACTGTCTCGTCGCACAATAACCTGTGGCTCTGGAATGAGACAGAAGGAGGAGGAGGAGGAAAAGAAAGGAGGAACAGAATGGGAAAGCAGCTCTTCACTCGGCTACTGCCATAGACAGCTGCTCTTTATGGTTTTTTATATGCAAAACATACAAGTGAGGTCCTGGTGGCTTGGGGCTGTGGGGGACCCCTTAATGTGCTGTCCTTCGTGGCAGCAAATCTGGCTCCACAAAATACATGATTTGGGGAGCTTTGCCCCTAAAGGGGACATTCAGTGTCACCAGGAGATGCTGTTCCTCCTCTGGGAGCGATGAGAGAGTCCATGCAAAGACCAGACATGAAGGAGAGGCTGGTGAGGAGCAAAGGGAGGCACATGACCATCAGAGATGGATGGAAGAAGAGCAAGGTTAAAACACAGGACAAAGGCTTTTTGGTGTTTCCCAGTCAATATGTACAAAGTTTATCTGGTTACTTTAAAAAAAAAAAAAATCTCCAAATCTTTAGGCAACTTTTTTGATTGTCCTCTGGCTCCAGTGTGAGCCACCCTGTGCTCCCCATCCCCAGGGAGGAGGTGTGTGAACATACACACACACACACACACACACACACACACTTTTCCCTGCATTTAAAGTGAATTAATCACAAAAACTGACCAGCCTTGGACCAGTTTGTAGCATAACCAGCAGAAGACCTGCAAAAGTGCTCTGGCACCTGGTGGCACAGCAAAAGCTGCCTGGGTGGCAGCCTTGAATTGTGGGGGGCATTGGAGGTGAGTGTTGCCCTTTAACCCAAAGGAGATCTTCCACTGGGCTGGGACAGCTCTGGGTGAGTCCATAATTTGGGGCAGAGGAAAAGTATGTGGGACCAAAGGTGCTGGGAATAGCCAAACCACCCCCCTGGCCCCACTTTGGCTGAATCAAGGAGACAAAAGAGATGGAGGATGAGAAGATTATTTATTTTTCATAGATTTTTATAAAAAATAATTATCAAATACAAAAAAATAAAAATAGCAGCAGCCTCCGTTGTGAATAAAACCCTAAAGGGGACAAAAACCGCTCAGTGTCGCTATAGAAGAACAATATTTGGGTACGTAGAAGCTGTCTGGTCATGAGAAGCACAAATGTCTACCAGCCAAGCCAGTGCCTCCAGTCCCACCCTCCCTGGCTCCCCTGTCCATGGATCACAGTCCCTTCCCTGCACACACAGGTGAGCAGGGACAAGATCAGGATTTTTGCCCCAAAAGGATAATAATTTGTCATCTGAACACATAAACATCCAGGTAACGCTGCCACCAGGCAGGGAAGGGTTTGGCATGGCAAGAGGTTGGGACTTGAAATTCTCTCTCTGTGTTTGTCACCCTCATACCACGTCCCCACCATCCCCTTTGTTGGGGGGCTGCTGGGATCCCCACTCCATCTCTGTTAGGACCCCTGGATCTCCCCTCCCTTGCACTGGTGGAGAGGTGCAGGCTGCCCAAGTTGAACCTCTTGGGGATGTTGGGCCAACTTTTATTTAAATTTCCCTGGGCTTATCTGAGGGAGGTCTTTTTACTGAAAAACTGATAATCTGACAAAAAATTGCCCAACTGAGAGTGCCTTTTGGGTGAAAACCTTGGTGTCACTTGTGTATGATGGGGACAGACATGTCAGTGTGTCTCTGCTGCAAAAGGAGACGGGACTCACTGTCCCCCACCTCTCCTCAAATCTCTGCCTAGACCAGGGATCAGGAGCACATGAGGTCAGGAAAGGGCTTGGAGAAAGACAGGGTATCTCCTGCGTGGATGCTGGTGGAATGTCCACACACCTCTGCCCCTACTCCTGTTTTCAGGTAAAGCACCACTGTAGGAAATGCCTGGCAAAAAAAAGCATGGGGAGATCTAGTGGAAGCCTGACGATGCCTTGAAAATCCCCAGTCTCTCCACACCGTGTCACCCTCTCTCCACCACTCCTTCACCAGACAAACCCTGGCTTGGAGCCTGTCTCCTGCAGCTGAACCTGGGGACACTCAGTCTGCTCTCCTACTCTCTGGTCCCTTCTCTGCTCTCTTCTCCTCCTTTCTCTGCCTCTTTACAGCACAAAACCTCTAGGGATAATCCCAGCAGGAGCCAGGCACCTTCCCTATTGCTGCCTCTGTGGGGCTGGGTCCCAGCTGCCAAGCTGAGCTTCTGGAAACCGATTATGGGGGCAAAGTTTCTTGTTGGGCTTCTTTGGGACTTGGAGTGAATCTGAAGATTTTTCTCTTGGTGCCTACAAGAGCAAGAGACTCGTTACAATCGGTGACTGTATGTCCAGTGTGATGGGCTTGG